AAATATGAAATTAACCAATAGAATATAATAGAATATTATCCAATTAAATTTATGATATGAATTAACCAATAAAATAAAAACTAAATATTTATATTATAACAATATTCTAAGTAAAGTTGTAAATTATAACATAAACTATAAATTGATATAAGATAATTAATATTTAGAATAAATATTTAAGAAGTTATATGAATTTAAAAATAATTTTAATTATTATAATTTTAATTTGTTTTAGTTATAATATAATAAATATTTATTTTACTATAGTAATTATAAATTATAATTATAAGTAAAGTTATAATCAAAAATAAAAGTTACAAATTGGTATAAGATAATTATTATTAATAATAATTATTCAGAGAGTTATATAGTATTTATGATCAAATTTAATAAATATAAATATAAATATAAAAATAAAAATACTTTAGTTATCACTATATAAACTTTTAATTCTTACTAAATATTATAAATTGTACTTATAAGTAAAGTTATAACTTATATTTAGAGTTACAAATCAATATTATTATTATTATATCTTTCATCACTTTTCAATATACATTTAATTCCAAAAGTACAATAATATCTTTTTTACTATTTTTATTTTCTTTTCTATATTTTTTATTTTTCTTCTATTATTATCCAATAGCAATAATTAATATTTTTATCCAATTATTTTTTATTTTTATTGCATTATTTTTATTTAAATTCTATTATTATTTATTTAACCAATCAATTTATAGTAATTTTATATTAATTTATATTTAAAATCTTATTGATATTTTATTTTAATCTCTTGTTACATTAATTTAATTAGTAATATATAAAGTTTACACAAATCTTTTTTTAATATTATACAATAGTTATTATGTTCCAACATATTATAGATTTATACTTTTATTAATTTCACTTTGTAATCTATATATATATTGTGCTTCAGATGTTGATTTGTGTCAGATGTCGCTTCATGCAATTTTATTCAGCCAACATTAATCTATTCACCAACACTAACCATAATTCTAATCCTAATACTAGTAATACTCCCATCTTAATTTAGGCTAATTGATACCTGACGCAAATCAACATTTGAGGCACAACATATATAAATAATATGTAGATTAGCATAATTCAAATTCACTATATATGTAATATGAAAATTAATTTGAAATAAATTAAGAAGATTATATCCTGATTTTAACTTTTATCTTGTCTTATTTCTTTTTGTTTTTTTTATTTTTGTTTTGTTTGTCTTATTTTCTTATTTTTTTATTGTTTTTTTCTATTGTTTTTTTCTTATTTTATCTTTATTTATCTTAATCTTGTTTTAATTATTATTGTCTTTTATAACTATACTTTTAACTTTAACTTATATCATATATTTAATTTTAATATCACTTTATATTCACTTAAATATATTTAATATTTACTTTAAATTTAAATTCTTGTTAAATTATTATCATCAATCATCCACTATTATTAATTATATCATTTTTATTTAAAATCTGCTATAAATATAGTTACTATTAGTTATTTTTAAATATTCTCATATTTAAGAACTAGAAATAGTAATAATATATAATATTATATACCTATCTTTAATCAAACTCAAATCAGACTCAAACTTGTATAATAATTCAGTTCAAACTTTGAATTTTTCTTGAACTCAAGCCAAAGTTCAATTTGAATTTGATTAAAATTTTAATCAAACTCAAATTTAGGCAGGAATTCAGTTCAGTTCAGTTCATAAGAACACTAAATTTTGCAAATAAGATGAGAGATTATAAAACTAATTAAAAGTATAAAAGAAATATATAACAAAAAATGTGTTTAATTTCTAAACTTTGAACTTTAAACTTCAAACTTGTTTAATTTATTCTAATTATAAGTTAAGATATATATTATATTTATAAATAAATTATAAAAACTAAATATTCAATAAAATTATAGATTGAATTGAATTTTGAACTGAAATTTAAATAGAAATCAAATAGAAATTTGAATTGAAATTTGAATAAAAATTTAAATTGAAATTCAAATTGAAATTCAAACTAAAATTTAAATAGAATTTCTAATTGAAATTTGAATTAAAATTAAAATTTCTAAATATAGTTGTTCAATAATATAATACTACAAAATATTAAATTATAACAATATATATAAAATTTTATATATTTTAAATGAATTTTTATAAAGTTGTATCTAAAAACTAAATTCTGAATACTTATAATGATTACTTCTAATAAGTATTATATATAATTTAATTATTTTTACTATTTAATATTATACTTTATTTATTTAATTTTATAAAAAACAGATAAAATTCAAGAAATAATAACTATTCATATTTTAATTTTGTTAGATTAATATTAAATAATATAAAAAAATAAAAATTTTATTATAAAAAAATTCAATTTTTATTATGTTTTACTATAAAATATATATAATTATTATTAAATATAATTTAAAATTCTAAGTTTAAAAATAATACAATCTGATCTTTATATAGTTATAATATTAGTAAAAAAATAAATAAATAATTATAAAAAGATTATAATTATATAGAGATTTTTTTATATAGTATTATTAAGTATTAGTTTTAAAGAGATATAACTATAAAAATTCTGTGATAATATTTTTATAAATCAAACTGAATCAGACTTTTGCCTGGATTCAAGTCTGATTCAAAATTTGAATTGAACTCAAATCAGACTTTGATTTGAGTTTAAGAAAAGTTCAAAGTTCAAATTGAACTTGAACTAAACTATTATGCGAGTTTGAGTCTGGTTCGAGTTTAATTAAAGATCAATATATAGTATCATATATTAATTTGTAATTTTAAATAAGAATTACAACTTTAATTATAAGTAATTATAAGTACCAATTTTACTATTTAGTAAAAATTAAAAGTTTACTTAGTGATAACTAAATTATTTTTATTTTTATGATTATTAAATTTTATCATAAATTCTATATATCTCTTGAATAATTAGCTTTTATTTCTGGTCACAATATTATTTATAATCATAGTTTATTATTATTATAGCAAAATAAATATTTACTATAAAGTAACTAAAGTAAATTAAAATCATAAAAATCAAAAATAATTTTTAAATTTAAATATTCATTTTCAATATTAACTAACTTATACCAATTTGTAGTTCTAGTTCTGATCTACAACATTATTTAGAAGCCCATTGAACATTTACTTGAACTCAGACTGAACTTTTAATCAGATTTGAAGTTTGAACTGAACTCAAATCAAACTTTAATTGAATTTGAATTTTCGAACCAGACTTTTGGTCAGGTTCGAGTCTGATTCAAGCTTAAACTGAATCAGACTTTTTCTTAGAACTCTACTCTGTGATTTTTTTACATAGCATTAATAGATATTGATTTTATAAAGTGTACTTATAAAGAGATTTTTATGTGATGTGACTATAGATCAGACTGTATTTTTAACAAATAGTAAATACAATATGCTATTTTAATATATTTGTTTGTTTGTTATTCAAAGTAAATTCTAGTTTGTTATTAACAAATTTTTTAATACTAAATTGAATTATAAGAAAATAGAAAAAAAGTATTTATTGAATAAGTATTTTATTTTAGACATGGTTTATTACAAATACAAATTTAGAATTAAAATTTTCCGGTAGTAAAAAAAGATAATCATGATTAAAGAGATGAAAATAAAGATTACATTTCGATAACAACAATAGATTCTAGTGTTCGGGTGAAATATTTTCAAAATCCGAAACGTTTCTCCCTATAACGATAAATCCGAAACTCTAATTTGGAACACCTTGTAGATCAAATTTAGTTTCGCTCGAAACACTAAAATTTAGATACAGTGAGCGCTCGTTACAGTAACATTCTTTAAGATAACAGCACGTTATAATAACACAAAATCTCTTTCCCCGATCTCATTACTGTAATAAGTTTTCATTGTATTTAATTTTTCGATAGAGTAACACCTTGGTATAATAACACCAAATCTCTTTCCCGATCACGTTATTGTATCCAGCGCTCACTGTATTCCTAATGTTGATCTCGAATCTATTACTATATTAGTAAATGCAACTCCCAAAACTTTTCACCTTCACACTCTTTTAACAAGCTCTAAATTTAGTAGCGTTCATAAGCATTAGGGTTTTGACATTTACGACATCACGGAGTAAATTCCATTTACGACAAATTATTGATGCCAGATTTGAAAAATCGGGTCCTTGGGTCCCATCAATACTAGGGATGGAAAATAACCGTTAATTATAACGATAATGTTAAACAGTTAATTATAACGATAATGTTAAACCGTTAATTAATTAATCAATAACGATAAAATTTCTTGATAATCAGGGGCAAATTTGTTAAAGTATCAAAAGAATAAAATGATATATAAAAGGAAGTAATTTCCGTAACGACTCATATAAAAAACAGTTTCAAAATTTTTTGATTCTCATTTCGAAATTGGATCATATATTTAAAAATCAAATTTAGATTTTTTCACACAACAAATCCAAACAACATGAAAGCAAGCGACAAACTTCCCTCAGTAACTGTCAATGAAAAGAAACCAACTGATAATATAAATATCGCAGATTTTTTCGCCCCTTATAAAAAAGCCATTTTATTTGGCGTGCCTGGCGCTTTTACTCCTGGTACATTATTTTTATTTTGGAGTATATCGATATATATATAATATTTTAACTTACTCATAATTTATTTTGAATTAATTTTTAGGATGTGCAAAGGTAATTAATAAAATTAAAAAGAAAATCAAGTAAAATAGAAAAATTTCAATATTTAATAGTTTCAAATTAACACAAAAGACACATGTTCCTGGATACCTCGAGAACTACGACAAAATCAAAGCAAAAGGCGTTGAAAAAATTGCCGTGATTTCTGTTAACGATGCTTACGTCATGCAGGCGTGGCGTAACAGTTATAACCATGGTGATAAGGTAAAAAAAATAAAACTTTTAATACTTTTAATACCGTTTATTTAATTAACGATGACAATTAAATTGTTTCAGATTACATTTCTTGCTGACCCTCGAGCTGAATTCGCCAAAGCCGCAGACTTATATTTCGACGTTAGCGATTTAGGCGGAATACGATCTAAACGATTCGCAGCTATTCTTGAGGTAAGTTAATTAATATATGTAGTTTTATTTGTTTGTTTGGATATTTATTTATATTTATTTTTGTTTCTTAGAATGGAGTAGTAACCAGAATTGATGTTGAGGTAAGAAATGTTTTCTTTGTTTTGCCCTACTTGCAATAAATAAATAATAGATAAATTTTTTTATTTTTGCTACGTATGAATAAAAAGTCTGACAATTCAGGTCTCGAGTGCTCTTTAGCTCCAGCAATTTTGCGACATCTTTAAATAATTTCCTTTTTTATAAAAATTACCGCAAATTTCTTTTCATTATGATGTACTATTTATATGAAGAATATTTGTGCAAATAAATTAATTGCAAAACTAATAAAAATCCAGAAAAAGAAAATTCCATAATTTATGCAGATTGTCGCAGAGCCGAAACCCAGTTTTGCTTTAGAATTATAAAGACCAATAGAGTTAGTCTCTTCTACCGCTTGCGGAGTAAACAAACTTTTATTCCATATGAACTACATTCTAACCATCGCCACCACGACCGACTGTTACTACATGAGAGCTTTCCCTACTCTCTCTTTATAAACTAATATATACCTTGTCTCTTGAAAATCCGAAATTCTAACCTTTCTTTTGCCTTTATTTTTTTTCGCTGCTAATATAATATACACATCCACATAAATCCTATATATTTTATTTCTTCCTTACCTTAGACAGACTACTCTTAAAAATTTTGATTAAAACCTGGCAAGATGAAACAACACAAAGTGCAGTTCCTGGCGACTACACTAGACACCTCGTCCGTAAACACAAATGTAAATAAAGCTACTGCGCGTAATGATTTTAACTCGCATTCAGACAGGGATCTGAGGCCTGCATCAACAATGCCGCGTGGACACTTCGGGATTTCTGTTTTCAATACAAGAGATATATCTAAATATCAAATATTTAGTGATGACTATTTTGACAGGACCTTTGCCCAACAAGCTGCTACCTCAAAAAGAGAACAATTGTTACGAAAGTTAATGGGTATATTAGCTGCTAGTGTAATTGGGGCGCTATTATTTTATATATGGTTTACTTCGAATCGAGACCTATCGTCCTCTTCTTCCAAAATAAGATCTTCTGCCTCTTCAGCCCTGCCACCTTATATTTCTGATCAAATCTCACTTTATCGTATATTGGGGAATGATCTCCCCCCGAGACATAAAACAGGACAAACTTTGCAGAATGTCAAGTTTATATTAGATAATGAACCGAAATTTCCAAATACCAAAAAATGGTGGATATTGAATCGTATCGTCGATAGAGAATATGAAGAAACGCTAATAGCTCTTTTGGATGAACGCAAACAAGATTATATAAGGATACCGTTTAAAGCTGAGGAATATTTAAGACAGGATTTTCGTCTCGAAGATTTTCCTGAACCGGATTTTTTCCATTCTGATGAATATAAGCGTTTCTCAAAGGTAGCCAAATTGAGAACTCTTGACTATACTTATCACGAAAAGAATCTGTATGCAATGAATAATGTAAGATTTCGTTGTGAGGAAATGGATTCCAATTTAAATTGATACATTTTAATAATTTTGTCATTGTTTTCAATATTAGAACGGTGGTCGTAATATTGCCTTATTTCACGGAAAAGCAGAACCGAGAACTCGATGGATTATGCCATTTGATGGAAATTGTTTTTTGACGGCTAATGCATTTGCTGAAATTCTTTCACGATTAGAGGAATGGGGAGATCGTTACAAGTACTTTATTGTTCCAATGGCGAGACTGCTTAATAACACAAATCTTTTGACTGGACCCGATAGCAGGCCTATCACTCCCGAAGAACCACAAATTATTTTTAGAAATGATGCCGAAGACTCGTTTGATCCTAAAATGAGATACGGGCGTAGATCAAAGGTAAAAAAAATCATAATACTATGAATACTTCAAAGGCAACAAATTTTTAATAAATAATTCATTTTATTTTTTGGGAAAAGTTGGAATTATTATGGAGACTTGGAGTTATTTCATCACATAAAATTTTGAACAAGGCTGTTGTCCCATGGGAAACTCAAGAGATGCATTTTTCACGTGAAAAGAATCATTATAAATCAATTGGCTGGGTCTTTCGTCTATTTTCTGGCCAAGCTTTACAAGAAGAGAATAAAAAGGAGGCTTCATCATTGCGTGCTTTCAATCGTTTATTGGCAATTCAAAATTTTTTGGATGGTATCGATGAAAAATTGGCAAGAGCTCAAGGATTTGATTCTAAACGATTATTTCAGTATGATGAAAAATTGCTAAATCGTGCACGATTTCATCATTGGTCAGGTGACGCAAAAATTTCGAGAGTGATCAAACATTTGATTTCGAAGGCTGATAATGTAATCTCTTCTGTGATGACAATGTTTAGAGAATCCGATTTGCAAATTAATGATAACTCGGCAACATATTATGAATTACGAGATTCAAATAAAGAATTATCGCCATCAATTAATACGACAAATAGTGAAAATTATACTGATGTAACACCAATTGAAACAGTCCATAATGAAAACTTTGTAGTTGACGATTCAATCAAACGCGAACTACCATCATCTTCATCTTCTTCAGAAACACCGACGTTGACAAAAGAAAAAATGATATTACCAGAGAAAATTTCTCTTTCGGTATTATTTGAGAACGTGACTACATTAACATTGGCACATTATTTTTCGAGTCATAAAACGTATGTTCGATGGGCAGCAAATCTGATTCGAACCTTCCTATTATCTTCATATTCTATTGGTGACCAGAATGACTTTGAGGTTACAAGATATAGAACAGATCTTGAGGCGGTTAACGACGAGGGATATAGTTTTCCGAATCTTAATATGGTTCCTCGTGCTTTACCAAAACCTTTGAAATATAAATCACCAAAATTTTTACAAGAATTACACGAAGTCAATCCAAGTGGCTTCTTGGATGCATGCCGACTCCTTTATCGTGCTCAAGCGCTAACTCACAAAGAATATACCGATCTAATTTCAATAGCTTCTGACTGGCTAGAATATTTAGTTAATTCACCTAAAGGAATTAATATTGCACAATTACCGGATCATCGTAGTACACTTTACGATCTCCAAGTCACATCTTTGGCTGGTTTCGTTGACGATTTACGACTTTACCTTCGAGTCGTTAATCGACTACGAATGCGCATCAGAAAACATTTTTATATAGCAAATGGCGCGAATCCATCGAGTATAACCCAGCCACAGGAGATCAAACTAGTACAAAATGAAATTAAACAAGGTCGAATAAAAGTATCGGAATTTAGTGAATATGAGTTTCGATATACCACATTAAATCTTCAATATTGGATGTTATTGACTCGAGGCATACAGAATATTGGAGTTGGTGCTGATCTTTGGCAGTACACCGCGAAAGAAGGTCAACGATTAAGTAGAGCAATGATGGGACATTTAGGATTAAATGATGGTCGACTGGAAGATGATATGTTAAAACCATTATTACATATCGCACAAACAGCTCATCAAGCCAGCGATGAAAAACGTGGAATTTGGCATGAGCATGGAGATGAACATGATTATTTTCAGCATTTCTTGAAGAACATTGGTGGAAAAATGGACATTTTTAAAAATAATTATCCATCATCGGATTCTATAATAGATTTACGCGTGGGTATAGGCGCTGAAGCGAGACGGCAAGGTATACCACCTTTTTGGATGTTAGGAGTGGCATAATTATGAATTCAAATTAATTCATGCATCAAAGTTCCGTCATTTTTTATTCTAGAAATTATAGATTCCTGTATATTCTATTCATTCTTTTTTATACAAAAGGGGTTATTTTTTGTTTGTATTAATAACGGGTGTGTTAGATAGGTTAGATGGTTCATTGTAATAATAATAAAAATCTTATGAGTATTGCAATCACTCATACTATATAGTAATTCTAATTAATATCTCGATTCTATGTATATATAAATTTTTTCAAACGCGAAATACGTTAATCTAGAAATTAAAAGTTATCTGATTTCACGTGATTTGCCAAAAAATAAAAAATTTATACAGTCAAACCTCTCTATAGTCACACACATTTATAGTCACACCCCTTTATAGTCATCCTATTTTGCTTTTCTATTTACATATAAATATAGTAAAAAAATCTCTATAGTCACATTTTCTCTATAATCACCAAATTTTGCTTTTCCAAAAGTAATGATTATAGAGAAATTTGATTGTATATTGTTTAAATAGTAAATATAATTATTTCTGTAATTTATAAAAATATATTCATGTTAAGATAATAAAAGTTTTATATACAAAAATGTTAATAAATTTTCAACGATTAGTATTGATATATTAATTATCAAATTAAAGTGTTAATATTTATTATATCTATATGATTTTGAAAATTAAAAAGCACAAAATATAGATTTTTATATGGAAAATAATGAATTCAAGTTTCATCTTCATTTATATTATCTAAAGTATTATTAGAAACTATTATTTTTATTATAATGAAGTCTAGATTCTAATTCATAATAATACTTTTAAAATTTCCAGGAAATATTATCCAGTTGAGATTTTTCTATAAATAGACAGATACAATTAAAACTGATTATCAAAAAAGAAAAAAATATCAGAATTAATGATCACTAAAATACAGTATACTTAAGTCTATATATACAGTAAATAACTTTTTAATCTTTTGAAAAACTTTATACAAATAAATTTCTTGATACGTTTCAATTCTCTCATTTTTACTTTTTGCTCAGGCAAATAGAATCATTTTATATAAGCGTATTTTAGAAAATAATAATCTTTAATTTGACAAATTTTCAATATTTCATTAGATGTCTCTTATATAATAATTCAATACTGTCAGATTAATGCTAAAAGTCATATTATTCACAACATGACTATGACTATATATTCTTGAATAAGTTTTATTTAGTTGAGGAATTATATTTTTATTTGATGAAATCAATTAATTTTTTCAAAAATTTAAGATTATTTTGCTTTTTACAATAGATGAACTTTGAGTAATTAGTAACTGATATTTATTTAAGCAATTAAACATCCAATTTTTCATAAATGTTGAATGATATGCTACTTCGTATGTATTGACAAGTACTAATACTTCACGTAAATAAATAAATAATTTAGTAAATGTCAATTTATATATAACTGTAATCCATTATTATAAATTAAATAAGAATATAATGATAAAAATACAAATAATATTTATTATTACAAGCTAGCATAATAAAAATTTTTTCTTTAATTGTGTATGCTTTATTTGATATAACAGAAATTTGAATTTACAGCAAATTAATATATTAAACAAAATAATTACTGTTACAGATTGTATTATTTCTTGATAATTGTTTTTTTATTTTTATTCTTATTGCTATTTTTTATATTATTTAAATAATAAATTTTAAATATACTAATAAATTACAATCAAATCTCTCTATAGTTATCATCTTTAAAAAAGCAAAATTTGGTGATTATAGAAAGAATGTGACTATAGAGAGATTTTTTTTACTATATTGATATGTAAATAAAAAAGCAAAATAGAGTAAATATAGAAAGATATAACTATAAACAGATATAATTATAAAGAAATTTGACTATATAATAATTAATTAAAGTTAGTTATCTATTTGTTTAAATTCAAAAGATGATAATAGTGATAACACTTTTACTTTCACTTTCTTAACTGATTTCTGGAATCTCTTAATAATGCTCTGAGAAATTTTTAAGTTTATTATATCTTTTTTATTATCATTATCATTATTTTTATTAGTTTCTTTTTATTATTAAACAAAATAACAAATTTTTAGTATATAAACTTTTTGTAGTTGTATTCTAGTATGTGATTTTACTTTGATCTTTTTATTTTTTGATACTTTTGTATCACTAAATAAGTCTGTAAGTGATAAAATAATGTATATAAAACAGTATAAAATATAATTATATTATTATATTATTATGTATATACATTTGTGCTTGTCTTAATAATATAAAATCTAATATTTATCAAGTGATCATAATGATGAGATCTATTAAATATATTAAACAATAAATATTATAATTATTTATTCATGTATTAAATGATAATGATAATATTATAATTATAAATTTAATCAATATCTAATTATGTATTGATTTATTTAAATACTTGAGTGAGTTGAATATTAATTATTTTTTGTGAATATAAATCAGTATTTAATTATTATATATTTTAAAAACAAAGTAATTATAATATTTATCACATTTGTTCAATTATCACAAGATAATAAAATATTACTAAGTTTTGATTATTCAAAGAAATATAGTTTGCATATTATATGGATGAGTAGAATAAAAAATGAGAAATAAGAATTATCAGTAAAGTAAAAATGAATTGCTAATTAATATAAGTAAAAGTAAAAATGAATCTCTAATTATCATATCCAAAGAAAGCAGTTTGCATTTAATAAAAAGTGAAAATAAATCACTAATTATCATAATTTTTGGTCTTAGAATAAATAGATTAAATGATTTTATGAATGAAATACAGATATAGAGATATTTTATTATTCACTATTTTAATGAAGAATGTCTATAAAAGGATCAAGAAAGCAGTGGGAAGATGATAGATCTCTTATCAATACATATAAATATTTTGATTTAAGATATTAGATAGCTTTATAAATAGAATGTGGATGAGTGACATCTTATCACTCTCTATTAAGAAATATCTGAAAAGAACTTGTGCTCTAAAAGAGATCAAAAAAGCATTATCTTATTGATTATTTTCAATTTTAATGAGATAGCATTATTATAATTGGAAATTTTCATAATTTCTATAATTTCTATAATCTTTATAAACTTCAAAAATATTATAAACTCTATATTCTTTATAATTTTTATATATAAATCAATTAGATGAATTTTATATTTTATCATTTTTATAATTTTTATATAATTTATCATTAATATAATATTTATTAGTGAAAAATATTTATTATAAATAAAGTAATATTGAGATCTTGAAAAAAGATATTAATTGATCACTAATAATCTTATATTAATACTTGTATTTATTGCACACTATTGGACAACTACCAAGTTGCTATAAAATATTAGTACTGTATTTTATAGAATTATCTCACACTAAGATCTATTAGTAATAGTAAGAGCCTATTTAACTAATAGAAAAAAATGCACTACGTGATAATCTCAAAGTACCAATTATAATAAAATTGAGTAATTGTAAAATTATCATTATTAGACATTGATTAAATATCTATATTATGATAATATTCACTGAGAGTCTGATTGTAACAATATAATACTAGTATTCCTTCTAGATCTGAATTCAGTTATATTAACATTAGTATTTGTTTGACATAGTCATCAAACATCAATGTTTAATGAAAATTAGAGATTATCACAATTTAGTTCAATAATTGTGAGAAGTAGTTAACTATATCTTGAAAGAGATACAGAGGAAAACTTTCAGTATTAATTAAAAATACTTGTTTAAATTCTTTCAGAAAAATATCATTATAATTTTGATGGGTTATACACTAATTATTAATTAAAATTTTGATATAATTTTAATTATAATAGATTTCCAAATTTATCAGAATTTTAATGAATTATTTACTAATAGTTTATTATAATTTTAACAGAATTTTGATGATTACTAAGGAATTTCAGCAAGTAATCTTAGTACCAATACATACAAATCAAATTATTATGAGTTTCAAATTCAGATAGTGTTGTATAATAATCTTTTATCATAATATTTTATTATTGAATTATACATATCTCATATCTTATTGGATAAAGATCAAATCACGTGAAGTGAGTGAACAAGTAAGTAAACAAGTAAATAAGTAAACGAATGAATAACTAAATGAACGAGCGAACGAACAAGTGAATAAATATTAAACCAATAAAATTTAAGTGATATAGTGAACATGAATTTGTATAGCCTAAAAATTATATCTTGAATTTGTATAAAAGCAACATGTATCATAGTTATTAGAATTAGATATGAACAAG